GAAAAGAGGTTTAGATGGAGAGAGTAGGTGAACTTATCCACAATACTCACTGATTGGATATTTATTAATGTTGAGTAGGAATGGTAGTTAAATGACCAATATACCCTTATGAGATAAAGGGAGATGCATGGCAGGCTTTGCCACGTCCTTTAGGTTGATGACCTGTTCACTGGTATTAAGTTGGTTGGTCCTAGCATCCACCTTGGTATCTCAAGCTCACTATTCAATATTCATCCTTCGACTAGCCAATTTGCTCCTGCCTCTGGCATTTGGAGCTGACCATACTATTAAACCTGGCCAATTTTATGTAGAAGACAATTTCTACCCTATCAAAGATACAAAAGTAATTCGTCAATCTAGGATTGAGTTAAGTGGCTTCTGGGATTTTTTGGTTGTAGTTGCGTGCAACTGTGCCCGTTGGGATATTTTCGTTATAATTGCATGCAGCTCCGCATATCTCCTTACAGGTTGGACTTCAAAACCTCAGACATTTGTTGTAGCTCTCTCTGCCTTAGTCTCTCTCTCTCTCTCACACACACACACACACGCAAAAAAAAAAAAAAAAAAACACAGGACTGCCTCTTTCTCTCTTATCTCAAACTAATCTCATTTATGTCCACTATCTCACTTGCTTTACCTCTAGCCCTAGAATCCTATACTTACCGATGCACATTTGAGAAAGAGTTACCTTTAGAGGTGTTGAGTTATAAGAGTTTGGGGTTTTTATGTAATTGTATATATATATACATATATATATTGTACACTCAATCGATCCATTCGTTGCAATGAATTTCTCCTTAATTTCTCTCTTTTCTATCATGCCTAACTTTTAAAATGGTATTAGAGCCTCCAAAACCTATAGCAGCTCCAATTCTTTTTTTCTTTTCTTCCCTTTGCTTTTCCTTTGGTTGTCATCTGCTCATTGTCATCATTGTCTGCTCATATTCCAGATCTAAGTCACATAGTTTGTCTTAGACTATGCACGCTCCATCGCTCTACACGTGAGTTCGCGGTTTGGGTGTGAGTTTGATATAAATTCACTTTTTCAATTTACTCAATTTGCGTATTTACTTTTATAAATTTGCAAATATAATATATTTACACCATGCCACATCAAAAGCCAAAGCTTCACCATGTGACTGCCTCTGCTGTACTCCATCTAAGGCCGCTGCAGTATGAAAAGTGGATTGATTGCTGAGAGGTCCACTGCCCATTTTATATTAAGTATAACCTTTTCATGTCTTCCCGATGTGGGATGGGTTTTATGGCATAGAAATGCCTTCAAAAGTTTTCTCTTGTTTAATTATTCACCATATTATTTCTATGTAGAATTTAAAAGTCAAATCAATAATACAAAAATTCTATAATTTATTATATATTTAAAATTTAATTTTTTTAATTTATATGTTTATATGTATATAGTATGGCGCTCTTAAGGCACTCCCGTTCTAAGATTTTTTTGAAGTTTTTTGCTTTTGCTCTCTTGCTCCATCTGATCTAGGTCAAGATTATTCGAAGGTTTGCATGTGTCTTGGGTTACTAATGCATAGTTACTCCAGTGAGCTGTGGCTTATTGAGAGGGTTCGACGATTTTGAACTAGGGGTTAGAATCTTGTAATATTTATCTCCAGTGTGGAGAAATCAGAGTTGGAAAAGTCGCTAATGAAATCGAAGTTGTTTTTGCCTCAATTGAATTAGTTTTGATGAGGACGAATTTTTTTTTTTTTAGTAGAAGTTGTTTGGGTGAAGAAGTTGGAATCAACTTAAAGATTTTGCAGTCCAGCCTCATTGTAGTCATATTTGTTTTTGGGTGAAGAAGAAGAGATCCATAGCTTCTGGGTGAAGCAAGACTCCCCCTTTGAAACTAGCCAAGTTTGATCCAATATCGGACTACTAATAAAAAAACTTTCTGAAATTACATAAAAGACTCAACACTACAGAATTTACCCTACACTTGCAAATTATTCTCAAATTCTACAATTAATTCTAGAGTCCATAGGAATTTGCAAAATTTGCCCCCTTTATTGATGATTGTTCGGGAATGACTGTTAATCGAAATGAAAAATCGTTTTGAACTCTTTTTTATATTGAGTTTGAGTCGTGAAAAGGTTAAAATTCAATTTGGTTGTTTTTCGTACCTTTTTTTCTGATAATGTCTTGGAATATGAGAAAGGCTCTTCGCAATCTCATTGTGAATCTCAAGACCTTATACATCAAACCACTTGCGTTCACACACAACATAATGGGATTGTAGAAAAATAGAATAGGCGGCTTATTGAAGTTGCTTGAACTTTGATGCTTCACATGCATGTACCCTCATTATATTGGGCAATGCTGGCTTAATTGCTTGTTTCTTAATTAGTTGTATGCCTTCTTTGGTTCCTAAAGGCGTCTCTCCTTTCTCTATCTTGTTTGTTCATCAAACTCTGTTTGATTTCCCTCGTAAGGTCTTTGGTCGTGTCTTTTTTTCACATTATTATTGGTCTAATTATGGTAAATTTGACCCTAAGGTTGTTAGCCATGTTTTTTTGGGTTATCCTCAAATTCAAAACTGGTATAAAAGTTGGATCACAAACTCGTGGTTACTTTGTTATTGGGGATGTTACCTTGTTTGAGGATACATCTTTCTTTTTGACCTAAGGTATTGAGATGGAGTGTAAGTGCACCCATCTTCATCTTCACATTGCTTTTTAGACAAGTCCTATATCAGACGAGTCAAATTAAATATTATCAAAAAAAGGAAATGAAAAAGAAGCTTTAACAACAGTGCAAAAATTAAAATAAAAAGCAAGCACAATTTTGGTCTGGTACTGGGACCATTTTATCAACCTTAAACAGTATTGATATATGGACCATTAAAAAGAAGGAACACAGAGAAATTTGCCACAAAGATCTGCTGAAAATGATTTGATCTACCGTAGTAGTGGAGCAGTGATGCCTGAGTTTTGATTTTGTAGTGTACCGGGGGATGAGTGGGGCTTGATTTTGGTATTAATTGGAAGAAACTATGGTGAGCCATGCGATTGGGGTTTGTGAGAGAGTATGAGAGAAAAGAGAGAGAAACAGAGGGTTCTAGAGAGTTGGGTCTGACAGTGGGTAGGTAAATGAGACAACTAGAATTTTTCTGAGAGGATTTTATAAATCGTACAAATTTAATAAGAAAACAGTACTGAGCTTATATGATCCTACCGAATAGCCTAAGCTCGGCTCTTATAAAAACGAGCTTGAAATTATGTTAATATTCGCTCGTATTTGAAGCTGAACGAACTTGAGCGAGCAAAAATGATTTGAGCCCCAATAGGTCGTTCTGTTTAATAGCCCTAACCGGGACTGTCCTTTATTGTTAACTCAAAAAGTAGCCAGCGTTGTATAAATTTGATCTCAGAATTGCCAATATTTCTAGAGCATCCAAATTAAAACTAATTTGCAATGAATAGAGGGCCCCTAACCATAAAAACAAACACACCCATACAACCTCACAAACGAAACCATTATCACCATTCGTTAGCCACGAGAACTCCCTCACAAAACCTCCATAATTACCTCCATCCACAATACTGCTATTAACTCGATGCAATACTGATCATCTATGCACAGCACCGAACAATACTGTTGTCTCTGCACAGTACTAGCCACCAACACCAACACCAACACCAACACCAACACCAACACCAACACCACGACCACGACCATGACCACGACCATCACAATCTTCTGTGCACCGCCATACACTTCCTACCCATCAACTCTGTGCACCACCCATTAACACCAACACCACCATCATAAACCTTTGCACAACACCAACCACCTCCAACGCCATCACAAACTTTTGAGAAACAAGGAGTTGAGGTTTATTGTGGAATGAGGAATCCAGTAAAGTTTTTGTGGTCAACAACTATTCTGATTGCCTTCGAGGGGTGACTAAACAACAAGATCGAGGAATTTAAGCCTCTTTTTGTTCTTGATCATGAATAGAAAACACCATAGAGATTTAATAGCTAATGTGGTAAATGTACAAAATTGACGAGGAAAGAATGCATGACCACACAACATTAACCCGTCAAAGACACACAACAATCACCTTAGACACCCCCCCCCTCCCGGGGGGCCCTCCATAGACCCCTCATGGTGTGTACAACTGTGCCATATTGCAATTGTGTATGTTTGTTGGATTTGTGAATTGGCTTGTAATATCTTAGAGAGAGAGAGAGGGTGGAGAGGGAGGTGGTGATGGTGATTTGTGGTTGGGGTGTGCCGGTGATGGGTAATCGGCTTGCGTTGTCTTACGTATGGGTATGGATATTGTTTCAGTTTATATTATTGTGTAGTGCAGGTCAGCAGCAAAATAATATGAAAGAAAAAATATTGAAAATTACTTCTAGCTTGTTTTGTGAATGTCTATTGACTTAAGGAAGTGCTTCCATTGCCATGGTTTGTTGGAGGGCTTGCAAAGCTTGCTACAGATTTGAACAGTATCTTGTGATCCATACAAACTTTCTAGCAGGGATTTTTTTTTTTTTTTTGCATGTTGGCGTGGTTCTCATGTATAATTTTGATGTACAGAGCTAGTCAAAAAGCATTGCATCTTGAAAGCGATAGTTCATATGCACTCGATCCATATTGCATGCATGGTCTTTTGGTGATCTTCTATGCAATGGAGGGGGGAGGGTGTTCATCATGAGACTTTCAACTATTTTCAAAAAGCACTTGGGAAACAGACTGCTAGTGCAGTCTTATTTTGGCTAAGCATAAAACATCTCAAATTTTCTCTTTGCAGGAAGAGGTAGACACAAAACCTCAGCTTGCAACAAATGATCCTAGAGAAATCCAGAGATATTACCAGAATTTCTATGAGAGAAATATCAAAGAGGGCCAATACACAAAAAAACCGTAAGGCTTGATTTTAATTTTTTACTGTGCTATATAATGTTCAAGTTGGTGTCCCGTGCTTATGTTTATTTATTCATAAATTTGTCTTACATCTCTCTTGAAGGGAGGAGATGGCTAAAATTTATCAGACTGCATCAGTATTGTATGATGTTCTGAGGACTGTGGTACCTAGTGGAAATGTTGATGATGAGGTTTGTTTTTTCTAAATTGAAATTTTTATGTAGGTTTTTTTGAATATATGTTGCATGTGGAAGTTATTTGAATGAAACAGAAGTAACTTGGGTGATATGGCAACTGCAGACAAAAAGATATGCTGAAGATGTCGAGAAGAAAAAAGAACAACATGAACCCTACAACATTCTTCCCTTGTATACAGTTGGAATTAAGCCAGCAATTATGGAACTTCCTGAGGTTGTATATGAGATTCGTATGGAATCGTTCTGGGTCATCAATCACATTCATAATTCCTGAATGCCCCCTCTCTCTGTCTTACCTTCCCCTCCTAGTAATTATTCTTTTCTGTTCATTCAGATCAAAGCTGCACTTCGAGCTATACGAAGAGTGGATAATCTTCCTGACACGGATAAATCTGTGAATGATATTCTTGAATGGCTGTCTTCTGTTTTTGGGTTTCAGGTAATGTGCATGGCATGCTCTGTTGTCCTGCCTGCCACTCTTTCTTCATTCTGCTATTAAGACAAGCTCAAATGCTAGGTTTTCACCTAATTTTTTGGTTATTAAAGGCGCTTAGCTCTTGCACCTTGTTCTACCTTGAAGGGTAGTCATTTGATTCTACTTGGCCTCAAGTCTATTGCCTCTTTATCCTTTTTGAACCAGATTTGTGAGAGAAGCTTTTATTTTTTTTTCTCTTTTGGAAGCATAACATTGTTGAAGCATGATGATGGCAGCAAAGTTGTTTACATGTAAAATAATATGATGAGACTGGGGGGTGTCCATTTCTTTAAACTTAAATGAGGGCATTAGAAACGAGTTTACTAGTATATCTCCTGTACTCCTTCCCTGTAGCGTATAATGCTGATATGTTCAATGTCTTGTGCAAAATACCAAATATGAAGCCAATGTTGGACTCCCCAAGAACAATCCTTTAGGTAGGAAAACCTCTTGCATAGAAAGTAGGGAATCTTAGTATTTTACTTTGTCTGACGGCTAAAGATATTGGGGGATCGAAGCCTGAAGAACCTGATTTTAGACACTCGTTTTAAAATTTGGAGCAAAAGATCTCAAAATCCTACCCTTGGGGGCTTGAAAGTAAGGCAGAGGAAGTAGAAAGAGAAAAACAAAGTAACATATTAAAAGATGGTATGTTTCTCCCAAATTTTTTTTTATCTCTCTATTAAAGTGGATATTTGTTGGTCCCGACTCCTCAACCTGCTTTTTGGCCCAAAGATTCCGGCCCTAGCAAGTAGCAACTTGAGAGCTCATGTAATTGAACTTAAACTTGGAGCAAGTGGGCCTAAACAACAAGATAAGAACAAATTAAATAGTTAACCAAATTCTGGACTTCACTAAAGGCCATTCAATGTTTAATATTCGACTAGTTAAATTCTAACAAAGACTAGTGTTGACATTGAAACTAATGGCTTTAGGACTTGAACAAGATTCTTCCTTTCGACATTGACCCTCACATTCAATAGCTGGTCTTTGATCTTGATTGCATCATCTTCCTGGATCCACTGTAAATTGTGGTCATCATTTCAGGACTCTTCTTGAAGGGATTCGATTCATGATACAGTTGTGTTATATAGAAAGTCATTATGCAGCATATATATTGGTGGAGAGTTATTACTGAAAGCTATGGATCACTGTCATGTGTTATTTAGTATTTTGCATGAGATTTTGTTCTAACATGTAATTAAGTCTATAACCATTGCTCGTTTATTCAATTGGCATCTGGTAGTTCCATCCTTTCTTGTTGTTTGCCTGCTGATCACGGAAACAGCTCAGATCATCTGATTTGTACTGTTGTCTCACTTTTGTGGATTGAAGAAAGGTAATGTAGCTAATCAACGGGAGCACTTGATATTGCTACTTGCAAATATTGATGCCAGGAATAAGAATCTTGAGGTTAATGAGCAGAAGAATCTTGCGGGTTATGAGCAGGTGAATTTCTGTTATTCGATTAATATAAATAAACCTTCATTCATGGATATTGAATTTCGTGTTATCTTCCTAGCCATATCAGCCTTTATCTTCATTCTTTGTGTTCAAATGTTGAAGATTGATAAAAAAAATTACTGCAGTTGGATAGTGGTACTGTAACGAAGCTGATGGACAAAATTTTCAAAAACTATCGCTCTTGGTGTGCCTATCTGCACTGCCCATCCAATCTTGAGTAAGTTAACTTGTAGTAGTCTACGTCATAACTTGGTTCATTCAAAGTAATTTTTGAGTGGGTTCTAGTGATACACCTTCGTGTACCTCGCAAGCACTCATGTTTTTCTGTAAGTTGGTCTATATGTATTACTGTGCAGGTTTCCAGAGCGTGCTGACATGCAACAGTTAGAGCTTCTGTACATTGGACTTTATCTTCTTATCTGGGGTGAAGCTTCAAATATTCGATTCATGCCTGAATGCATTTGCTATATTTTTCATAACGTATGTATCCTTTTGTATTGCCTTGCAAAATTAAATTTTCTTTTTAATTTCAGTTAAGAATATTAGTGCTATTTGAAAATTTGAGCTTTCAGATGTACTACCAAATTACTAATTTTTTTAAGGGCTGGCCTTGTAATTGGGTTTTCCATATATATTTCTGAACTATTTGGAAATTTATTTTATCCAGGAGTATTCTTACGAATAGCTTATCTTCACATCCAGCTAGTTTTGTTTTTGTTAACTTCATCTTTCCCCTCAGAAAAGAAATGTAGGGAACAGTATCTTTATTGTCTGATTACTTTGATGGCCCATCTTGTCTTGACACTTTATGCCCTTCTTTTTTTTTTCCTCCTTTGAAATGTCATATGTTTCAGCAATTTTGTTTTACTTGACAACTTGTTCATAATCTGTTGAGAGTTTGAGTGGGATTTTATACACCTTGCATAAAGTATGATAAAACTGTTTTTGACTATTACAAGTGTATACATGGGGTGTGTTTTTGCAATGAAGCATACATTGTTGGTTGCTTTGTTAATTTTGAAACACATATTTATAGACGATCTACTACGGCACCGGTAAGCAAAGGGTTAGAGGAAGACCAAAATTAACTTCAAGTGAAATAGTAAAGAAAGAGATGATGACTTACGGTTAATAAAAAACATGGCTCTTAATAGAGTACAAAGACAAATCTCCCTTTAGTTTAATGTCTATTAGCAAGATTACGCACTCTCTTAGTTGTTTTGTCACATTTTATCCTTCTTTTTATGCATTTTAGGATCTAAATTTGAAGAGGAACATTGGTACAGAGATAAGGCGGGTGGTATTTGTTAGAATTGATCAAAAAAGACAAAAAAAGAGAAAGTAGAGAAGAGAAAGAGAAAAATATTATTTAGGCTAAACAATTCTGTAATCCTTCTTAACCTGGAAGCACACAATGTGAGCCTTATATAGTAGCACAACATAACATAAAGTAAATGCTTAAACTACCCTTAATATTAATACTCTAACACTCCTTCTCAAACTTATGATGTGGTAGAAAATATCAAGAGTTTGCCAAAAAAAAATTGGAAGTGTACTATGGTGTGAGATTTTTTAAAGAAATCCGCTATCTACATGATGGAAGGAAGAAATGGGAGAGTGATGGTGCCTTGCTAAAGATGATGATGCACAAAGTGGTAATCAATCTCAATGTGTTTTGTGCGCTCATAGAAGATCGAGTTGTGAGCAATCTGAATAGCATTAGTGTTATCACAGTACATAGGAGTAGGAGAAAATATGGAAATGCTAAGATTAACAAGTAGCTATCGTAATCAGACTATCTCAGCTGTGGTAGAAGTCATAACACAATACTCAGCCTCAACAGAAGAATGAGCTACAACATTTTGTTTCTTGCTTTTTCATGAAATAAGAGAATCCCCGAGCATTAGAGTAAGTCTTGAGTTCCATAGGTGAGGAGTGAGGAAATAGTATAGACTCTAATGTAGAGTACTACGGAGATACCGAAGAATAAGAAGAACAACAGTAAACAGTGGTAGGTGAGGTGACAAATTGACTAACAATATGAACAACATAAGAGATATCTGGACGGGTAACCGTAAGATATACGAGACTCCCAACAATAGTGCGATAAAGGGTAGGGTTAGGCAGAGGAGTACCATCAGCGGAAGAATATTGAACATTGAGTTCAAGGGTGTCTCAACTCTCCGATTGTCTAAAAATGAGCTCGTTGAATAACATTTGATGCGTACTTGGATTGAGAAATAAGATAACCTTTAGGAGAAGTTGAAACCTTAATTCCCAAGATATAGCGAAGTTGACCCAAATCTTTAATCTCAAAATGATCCAATAGTTGAGTTTTTAATAGGTATGCCAGCAGTATCATCATGGTTATGATCATATCATCAACATAAAGTACTGGAACAATAGAACCAGAAGAGATAGATTGTAGAAATTGGGTAGAGTCATGATCATTGACATGGAAACCCAAGTCACAAATAACTTATGAGAACTTGGCAAATCATGCCTTGGGAGTCTGTTTAAGTCCATATAAGGTCTCGTGAAGTCTGTATACTTGACCAAGACTGTAAGAGAATCTAGGTAGAGGAGTCATAAATACCTCTTCAGAGAAGTCTACATGAAGAAAAATATTTTTCACATCAAGCAAATATAAGTGCCATTGACAACAATTACAGTATGGTCTAACCCTTACTCCTGAGTAAATCTCTTGACTACTAACTGAGCTTTATATCTTTCCACAGTGCCTGATTTGGTTTTGATCTTATAAACTTACTTACAACCAATGGTTTGTTTGCTAGTAGGTAAAGAAACTAATTCCCAAACTTGGGTCTTATGAAACAGATAATTCCTCATTTATAGCCTGTTGCTAAAGGGGATCAAGGATAGCTTCCTTATAGGAGGTGGGCTCAGACAAAGAATGAATAAAAGTGAGAAAGGTACAAAAATTAGAAGAATAACATGAGCGGGAGAAATCAAACATTTTTGGACATTTCCGAGAGCTTTAAGGATAACGAGAAATATGATCCATAATGTCAGAACCTGATTGAGTGACAAAAGTAGAAGATGGAGGCACTGAATTTGTAGAACAGACAATAGGAATCTTACGAACATAAGTATGCACAATTGGGGGACACGTGACAAGGAAATTAGACATAGTGATATCACTAACATATGTATTCATGGGAACATTAGCTGGGAAGGGATCAATGTAAGTGACATCATATTTATGTACAGATAAAGAATAAGAGGGGATCTAAAAGAAAGGAATATGTTCTATAAAGATAACTTGGAGAAAACATAAAGTTTGTGACCGATAGGATCATAGCAACGATATTCTTTTTTACCCTCACCATAACCAAGAAATACACAAGCCCAATTGAGCATAAAGTTTGTTACGTAGAATACTAAGGAGTAAGACAAGACAAACACAACCAAAAATACGTAATGAGAACTAATAAGGGGCTTACTGTACAATTTTTCAAATGGAGAAACACCAGAAGTAAGAATAGTTGGAATGTAATTAACTAAATGAACCGAGGTAAGAACTTCACCCCAAAAAGAACTGGGGCAGTTGTAGATAGTAATACAGAGTGAACGGTCTCTATAATGTGGTGGTGTTAACGCTCAACAACTCCATTCTGTTCAGGTGCATCAATAAATCCATGATTGATAAAGAGTGCCGTCACATTTCAACAAATCTTGAAAGGAGGTGAGAGAATATTCACCTCCTTAATCACAACAAAATTATTTAATGACAAAAGAATACGAAGTATGTACTATAGCTCGAAAAACTGTGAATATAGAAAAGAATTCATAACACTGTTTCATCAAATATACCTAATAGTACTTTCTGTAGTCATCAATAAACGAAATATAATATCTGGACCTTCCTTGTGTAAGAACAGGAGTAGGTCCTCATAAATCAGAGTGAATGAGATCAAATGGTGCAAGAGAGCTAGTAATACTTTTATTAAAGGGTCAAGGAGTAAATTTAGCTAACTTGTAGCTACTATAATTAGAAATGTCACAACACTTCAAACTACCTAAACTGACAGTAGAAACTAAAAACTTCAAATGTGAATGAGAAACATGTCCAATACTAGAATGTCATAAATAAAAATTAGATGACTCTAGACTCAAACTAAAAGAAGATAAATTAACAGTAGAAGCAACAACATTTGGGACATGAAACTCCTCTAACACATATAGCCCTTTTTTTTTATGGCCTGTCCCAATGAGTTTCTTAGATTGTAGATCCTGCACAATACAACTAAAGAAAGGAAAATGGACTAAAAATCAAGATTTAAATAGTTGACTTATTGAAATTAAATTCAAAGTAAGTTTAGGAATGCAATAGACATTTGAAAGTGTAAGGTTGGAAGAAATAATTGTCCTAACACTAGTTAACGACATTTGAGTGCCATTAGCAACAAATATAGATACAGATGGAGGAGAAACAATAGATGCAAATAAAGAAGAATCACTGCTCATATAATGTGTAGCACCTGAGTTACAGGCCCAACCAGTTTGAGATATACCTGGAGCACCAGGTTGATGGAGAGAGAGAAACTTCTGCAACTGATTTGTAAGCATAGTTAGGCCGGGAGCTAATGAGGCGGACTCATCCATTGGTGGTGCAAATAGCTGTTGTACAACGATCTTTGGACTTAAATTGTTGATTTTGTGACCCATGTGCATTCACCAATTTATGACATTGGGCCTTTCTGTGACCTTTTTCACGACAGAAGCTACACTCATCCGAAGGAAGTCGACTTTGATACTTGTTTTGGGAATTAGAGGTCACTTGGGGAGGAACAACTAATACAGTCTGATTAGGCAATGAAATAAGAACCTTTCCAAAAAGTGTTTTAAGATGAACCTCTTAGCTCATTAACAACTGCACCCACTGAGGGGAGTGGATGACGATGAAGAATGAAGCGACGAAATCCCTCGAAATCATCTTTAAGTGCTATCAAGAATTGTACTAGTTTATGCTCGTTTCTAAAAGTGCGATATATCGGATTAATGCTCAACTTAGTGGGTTCAGTAAGTAGTAGCTGATCCCAAAATTCAGTCATAACTAAGTAGAATTCTTGTATGTTTTTGTCCCCTTAACGCACATCTCGAATCTTATGCTCTAGCTGATATCTTTTTGTAAAATTAGACCGTACAAATAATCTCAAATTTCCTTGGCTGTGCTAAACTTGGCTACATGAACTCCAATGGTCTAATCAACTGAGTTATTAATCCAAGAGAGAATTTTCTTATTGATGATATCTCAAGTGATCTTCAAATTAACATACTTTTTGCCTTAGTATTAGTAGAAGTATATGTAGCACCACTAATATAATTCCACATATCTTTCCCTAACAAAATTTTTTTCATAACATATGCCAAGTAAACATAATTTCCACCGGTCAATCTCACACTAATGGCCAGAAGCGAATCAGGATTTCCACCTGCCATGGGTTAATAAGGAAGAAACACTAACAATTATCAAAATACACTTATACAAATCTATCCAGGGCAAAATCCAAACCAAAAAATCAGATGTAGGAGAAAATCTAATACCACACTAGATAATCGAACCACAAATAATAATACCCAAAATCCAAGCTCAAACAACAAGAAGACCGATAATTAGCGATAACACCAAAAATCAGCAACCCAACAGACTGGAAGACCATACCCACTGCTCAAACAACAAGAAGGCAAATTCCTCAACTGTCAAAGCAAGAAAAGCCGAAGAACAGGAGTGCCGAGAGATTGTAGCCACTCCAAATCAACCAAGAACACTAAATCAGCAACCCAACATATACGACAACCAAATTCACTGCGTAGAACAACCAGAAGACAAAGCCACAATAGTAGAATCTAGAGCAGGCGAAGAACAGTGATGCCGAACCCTTCTGGTGGCCAAACTCAAGCCTAAAACTCCTCAAAAGATTTAGGGTCTTAATAGATGATCATGGAAGCTTAGTTGCACCTCTTAGAGAAGATTTGAACCAAAAATTGTAGCACAAAACCCTAGATCTGACAGATTGAAGAATTTTGACATTCTTGGCCAACAATATTCGAAAAATAGAAACACCTATCAGATGAGCCCAAAATCAAAATGAAGCATACTAGTGGAAAGCCCATCTCTTGTAACTAGATTTCATTATTGTGGAATATTGGATTTGCTGACTTGTTTTCTCCCTTACTCTTCTACATATAACTTTTCCTCTTTGCAAGATTGATAAATAAGTTTTCAGCTAGTATAATGGAACTTTTGGGACACCACAAGTGGTAAGTGACTATGCACAAATAAATGAGGCTTTATGAAAAAAATGATCAATGAGAGCTTCTTCTGATTTTCAAAGGAAAGTCTAGAAAAGGTTTCTGGCCTCTAAAGATGTGCAGTTTAGATATATCGCAAGACGGTTTGCCAGAATCTAGGGCATTGAATACCATGAGACTCACATGACAGGTGCCAAAATGAAGTCCCTAAGAGGTGGATGGTGATCTGTCACAAACTTGTCATGAGGAGAACAAAGAACGTTACCTAGAAAACAAGTTGCAAGATTTCATTCAAAAATAACCGCATTGTCCTGTGAAAAATGGAGTTGTTAGCATCCTGCTTCAACCTACAAAGATTTTAAGTTTGCTGCATAGTCTCTCAGATGAAAGAATACTAGAAAAGAATTATGACCTGTGATGATCATTACACTCTAGAAAGTATCCCAAGCAATTATTTGGAACAAAACCTACTAATTACTTACAAGGGCACGGTAAACTCTGTCATTATTCTCACCGATATTATACCTTCGGTTTTGTGAAGGGAGCAGCAATTGCCTGTGATATTTGATAAGAGAAATAAACTAATTGTAGTATCACAAGTTATCTTCTTGGATTATCTGCACGGATCATCCTCACTGTTGATAAGTAATAAGTACAATAAGTATCATCTAAATAATATTGGCTTTGCAGCTTCTTTTATATGTAAGTAACACTTTTCTCATTTTCAACAAAAAAGATGGCACACGAGATTTATGGAAATTTGTATAGCAATGTCCAAACAGTCAGTGGAGGCATATATCAAACAGAACCAGGTGGTGAAGAATCATTTCTGCGGAAGGTTATCACTCCTATTTATGAGGTCATACGCAAGGTAACATATATATGTCACTCAGGTGCCACTATGTTCTTGGTGATATTCACATATAAGTTAGTCGTTTAATTAAACTCTCTTTGATGGAAAAAGGAAGCAAAGAGAAACAAAGGCGGCAAAGCAAGCCATTCAGCATGGAGAAACTATGATGATCTAAACGAATATTTTTGGTAGATTTTTATTGATATTTTTTCGTGTACAAATGGAATTTGTTGCAGGGGGATCTTATTTTTTTTTTCTTTTAATACGTTTTACAGGTCTGACAAATGTTTTAAGCTAGTAGGGTGGCCAATGGACAGCAAAGCAGATTTTTTTGTCCATTCAGAGGAGACATGGTCACGGACCGAAAATAGGGTATACACAATTTGCAAGGATTTATGAATATAGTTTAATCATGTTTGTATTTCTTAATGTGCTGAAGAGGCTCCAGTATTTTACTGGAGAAATATGATATGAAACTGGGGGAGAGTTTGTCTTTTATTGAAAGAATATTATTTGAAAGTCGTTGTATGGAGAAGAAAGATATATAAAGAGAATGTATCCTTTTACACAGGTAAGCATTATTATTGATGCTGAAAATATATTGATAACTAGTTGAGACTTTTAACTAGAGAGAATTATAACATTCAAAATGCAAATGTTAGTTAAAACCTATTTGAAAATTGAAAATATTATTTCAACTTAGGTCAAATGTTTCCTAATAGTAATTGTTGGAGGTATACAACCTAAACCAACTGGCAATAGTCTGATACACCTCTCAACCGTATGAACTAGCCTTGGGTGACCCTAATCTTTCGACGTCCGATACAAGCTCTCAACATACCCTTTCTCACACACAACTTAGACTCGTGCATAAGCTAACAAAATGAACCGAAATGGACATTTGAATAATTTGTGGTGACGTCAGCATGCATTTTCAGGGACATGACCAAGTTATTGCTGGAAAGAGGAAGCCTAAGACAAATTTTGTTGAAGTCCGTACATTTTGGCATCTTTATAGAAGTTTTGACCGATTGTGGGTATTCTTTATATTAGCTTTGCAGGTATCCTCTAGTTCTGCAAACTTGGTAATTGATCTTTCCTGCAAGGAAAAAACTGCTTCTGATTTCTGTTTATGACAGGCCATGGTGATCATTGCATCGCACCGTGATGGAGCTCTTGATGCAATTTTCGATGAGGGTGTTTTTAAAAGCATTTTGAGCATTTTCATCACTTCTGCTGTTCTTAATTTTCTGCAAGGTAATAGTGATACTCTAGTTTCTTTGATTTTTATTTTGGCATGTCATGATTTCAGTTTTGGTGGAATTGTTCTGGTTGTCCACTGAATTGGACTCTCTTAATTTTTTTGCTTTTGATATCGTATAAGTGTCTTTTAAAATTAGCCTCAGTCCAGCCACTTCTATTCTCCTGTAGTATGCACGACTTCCACTTACTCATCGTTTCTACAATCTGTTGTGCAGCTACTCTAGATATTGTTCTTAGTTGTGGCGCCTGGAGGAGCTTGAAATGTACCCAGATACTTCGTTACCTCCTGAAATTTGCAGTTGCAACCCTTTGGGTTGTAATCCTGCCAATTGGTTATTCTAGATCAGTTCAAAATCCAACGGGACTTGTGAAATTTTTCAGTACATTGGGAGGGAACTGGCGTTACCAGCCATTTTATAACTATTGCGTTGCAGTTTACTTGATACCCAACATATTGGCTGCCCTACTATTTCTGCTTCCACCTTTGCGGAAACGTATGGAGCGTTCAAACTGGCGTATTATCAGTCTCCTTATGTGGTGGGCTCAGGTAAGCCTACTTTACATTTTTTACTTCCAAAATAAGCTGATTTCCCCTTATCTATTCTACTTTTTGATGACTACTACAGCCAAAGCTTTATGTTGGAAGAGGCATGCATGAGGATATGTTTTCCCTTCTTAAGTAAGAAAATGTATACTTATATATATACATGTTTCTTTTTTATCCAGATATATACATTCTGTATACAGGCACATTGTTTTACTTTGTTGCCTTCTTTTTTGTGGGTTTGGTTTTGTTGGGGTCTTTTGGGGGAGGGGTGGGAACAAAGGTTGGCTAGTTGCATAAGTTTTTTCTTTCAACCTTCTAATCTAGAAATTCCAAAAGATGTTCAATGTTCCCTTTTTTTTGTTGTAAGAAAAAATTCCCAGCTAATGATAACATTGCATATGTCAGGTATACACTATTTTGGATCATGCTGCTAATAAGCAAACTGGCTTTCAGCTACTATGTGGAGGTGATCTTTTTCCTTTACATATCACTCTGTGCATTTTCATACTCTTTATGGATCTTGATCAATAAAAACGTGGGGCCAATAAGTTGGATAAATAAACTAACATCTATGTATTGTAAGCATTTGTTTCTTCGTGTAACATGGTTGGGTTCATGCTCTGCCTTTTGTAGTTTCTATAACAATAATCCCGCAACATAATTTCTCTTTGTTTCAATTTGAGAGGTGAAAGCAAGCCATGGGTAGTAGCACCTTTATATTTGTGGGCATGGTCCAAGAGTTTTTCTAGCTACTGCATAAGGCCGGCAAGTCATTACAACTTTAAATAACAGGCACGATTACATATACCGCAATCAAGCATGATGCAAAGAAAAAAATTTATGAATGGTGGCAACGTATAATTATATAGTTTATATGAGGTATATCAAACAAATATATAAGCACCCATATGAAAATTACTGGAATACCATATAAAAGGGGATAATTAGTAGAGCTTGTTCTGCATCGTGAAAATAATGCCTCCCAAACTAGTATATGAGCTTTGTGGGCCTCTACACATTGCCAATTGATTTGGAGTTGAATGCTTTAATAAGGTACCAAAGTGGGACTGTGGAGGTTTTTGGACAAGACATTCTATTTCATGGTTGTTAAGTTTAATGAATTAACTAACACAATATTAGAGAGAAGGAGAGAGGTCAAAACTTAACCTAACTCTCATACATCACTTATATTTATAGTTAATTTACAATAAAAAGAATTACACATACACCTTCTTACTATTAACAATTTACACATACTACCCTATTATTCTTAACACTCTCTTTCAAGCTGGACTATATATATCATATAATCCAAGCTTGGAACAAATAGTTGTAAGACGTGTATGACTCAATATTTTGGTAAACATATCTGTAAGCTGATCTTCAGATTTCATAAATGGAGTTGTAATCTCCCCAGCTACTATCTTGTCCCGAATAAAGTGACAACCAACCTTAATATGTTTGGTTCTCTCGTGAAATACATGATTGACAGTGATATGGATAACAGCCTGGTTGTCACAGAACAACTGTAAAGGAAGTTAAACTGGAAACCCAATTTCTCAGGGAAGTGTAGTAGCCAAGTCAACTCATTTGTCATATGCGCCATTGCCCTATACTCAGTTTCAGTATTGGATCTTGCTACCATGGATTGTTTCTTGCTTTTACATGAGACAACGTTATCTCCTAAGAAAGTACAATAACCAGTTGTTGATCTCCGATCAGAAGGAGAGCCAGCCCAATCAGCATCTGAGAAACCTTCCATTCTAAGATATCCATTAGCTCGATATAACAGTCCAAGTCCCGGAGCACGTTTGAGATATCGCAGAATAAGAGTAATTGCATCCCAATGTGATACTCTAGGACACCCCATGAATTGACTTACTATACTAACTGCATAGGAAATATCCGGTCGAGTAATAGTGAGATAATTGAGCTTTCCAACCAATCTGCGATACTGACCTGGATTCTTAAATAGTGCACCATCATCCATCAAAAGTTTCTAATTTGGATCTATAGGACCATCAATAGGTCTGCCACCGAGCAAACCTGCTTTCTCAAGCATGTTAAGTACATATTTCCTCTGGGATAAACAAATACCCTGTTTAGATCGAGCCACCTCAATACCCAAGAAATATATGAGTTTTTTCAAATCCTTAGTATGAAATCAATCCTATAAGAATGTTTTTAACTTGACAATCCCCTCAGAATTATTTTCAGTAATCACAATATTATCTACATAGACCACCAATAGGACATATCCAACATCTGTTTATCTATGAAACACAGAATGGTCTGTCTGACATCGAAGAAGACCAAACTCTAAAACTGCATCTGAAAACTTACCAAACCATGCCCTCGGTGACTGTTTCAAACCATACAAAGATTTCTTTAACCGACATACACTCTTACCATACTCCCCCTGAGCAGTAAACCTAGGTGGCTGCTCTATATATACCTCTGCAACCAAGTCACCATGTAAGAAGACATTCTTGATATCTAACTGAAATAAAGGCCAATCAAGATTAGCAGTCAAATAAATCAAGATACGAACAGAGAAAATTTTAGCATTAGGAGAAAAAGTTTTCTCATAATCAACACCATAAGTCTGAGTAAAACCTTTTGCAACAAGTCGGGCTTTGAGACGCTCCATAGAACCATCTGGGTGAAATTTAACAATATACATCCAATGATAGCCAGCAGTTCGTTTACCAGGAGATAAAGGAACGAGATTCCAAGTTCTATTATGATGTAAGGCATCCATCTCCTCCTCCATAGCTTTCCTACAACCCGGATTAGATAATGCATCCTGGACATGCTTAGGAATATGTATAGCAGATAATTGAGAAGTAAAATAAGAAAAGATAGGAGACAAGGCATCATATGCAACAAAATGAAAAATAGGATGATTAGTAACACACGAACGAGTACCTTTGCGAAGAGCAATAGGTAAAGAGTCTAAATTACCTGACGTACCAGGATCAGAAGGCGGCAAGGAAGACGGTACAGGCATTTCAGTCGATGGGCGAGGACGGCGAGAGTAGACACGGAGAGGTAAAGTAGATGGTAATACAGTGGACAGCGGGATATCTGAAGATAAGGAAAGAGATGGTGGTACAAGAGATGACCCAAAGTCCAGATCCAAGGCTGAGAAGGTGCTTAAAAATATGGAACAAATTCTTCAAACGTGACATCGGCACTAGTAAAGTATCGGTGCAGAGAAGGACTATAGCAACGATCCCCTTCTGCGTGCGGGAGTAACCAAGAAATACACATTTGGTAGCTCGAGGGTTAAGTTTGTCAAATCCAGGACCTAAATTATGGACATAACAAACACATCCAAAAACTTTAGAAGTCAGAAAAAATAAGGGCTTATCAGAAAAAAGGACAGAATATGGATTTTGCCCATTTAACACAGAGGATGACATACGATTAATAAGGTGACAAACAGTAAGAACATCACTCCAAAAATATCAGGGAATATTTATCTGGAATAATAGGGCACGGGTGACTTCCAACAAATGACGGTTCTTGCGTTCAGCAACACCGTTTTGTGGAGATGTGTAAGCACAAGAAGTCTAATGAATAATGTCAGCTTTATTAAGATAAGCTGAAAGAGGATCAGATTCATATTCCCGAGCATTATCAGAACGTAAAATACAGATACGACAACCGTACTGAGTTTTTCATCAGAAACAACCAAGTCATACGAGAATAGTCATCCACAAATGACACAAAATAAAGATATTTATTAGATGAAATATTCTTTATTGGACCTCATACATCAGAATGTACCAACTCAAATGGACTAGACACACGATTATTGACTCGAGACTGAAATGATACACGGTGATGCTTACTAAGTTGACACACTTCACAAGACAAGGACGACACAGAACTAAGACTGGGAACTTGACGTTTCAGATTCTGGAGAGAGGGATGTCCAAGACGACAATGCCACTGAAAAGGAGACAATGAGGTCTGTAGAGCCCAAGTAGGTGAATCAAAATCAAAGTAATATAGGTCACCAGCTTCATGTCCCGTACCAATCTTCCTTTTCGTCTTAAGATTCTGAAAGATACAATAAGAAGGATAAAAGGTTACAGAACAATTGAGAGAACGAGTAATCTTGCTGATGGAAAGTAAACTAAAAGGAAACTGATGAAAAAATAATACGGAAGATAGAGACATATCAGAACTCAAGTTAGTAGTCCCCAAACCTGAAACTTTAGAACAAGTGCCATTAGCAAGAGCAACACTACGTGTGAAAGGAGCAGACTGATAAGTAGAAAAAATATTGGACGCACCAGTAATGTGATCAGAAGCGTCAGAGTCTATGATCCAGGGATTTCGATTGGAGGACAATAAACAAGTAGAAGTAATACCTGACTGGGCAAAAGTAACAGTGGAGGAAGATGAAACAACCTGTTATTGAGATAGGAACTGGGCATACTCATCTCGAGTAATAGTAACCAATCTAGTGTCTTGTTTGGGCTCCATAACAGTGCAGCAAATAGCAAACAAGAAGTGCTGCAATGCCGAACCAGAAGAAAAGAGGATGTTGGACCGCTGAACCAGGCCTGTTAAGGCTGCTGGAATACTGAACGAGTTTGAAAAACCGGCCTGAACCATTGAACCGGGCCTGTTATGGCTGTTGGAGCCCTGAACCAGACTGAAAAACCAGTCTGGACCATTGAACCGGCCTTGTTAAGGTCACTGGAGGTCTAAACCGGACTGGAAAACCAGTATGGACCACTGAATCGGCCTTGTTAAGGCCACTAGAAGCCTGAACCGGACTGGTTTAGCCCTCTGGACTGTTGAGCCGGAGTAAAAACAGAAGGATCCTGCCTGAACCTGTCTAAAAATGACTGATCCGGGCTTGAATTTGCTTAAACAGACTGAGCCGGGTCACAGGAGACCACTGGACTACTGAATCGGAGACAAAACAGAATGAACCGGTCTGAACTGGTCTGAATCTAGCTGAATCGAGATCAAATCGGGATTGATCCGGTCTGGAATTGAACCGTGGGCTAGAGGGTTTGGACCGAATTGGGTCTGGACCTTTTTTTTTCGGGTCTGGACCCTTTCTTCTTCGTCGATTAGGGTTACAGTAACCCTAGTCTTCCTGGACCACCACCA